TATGAACAATGAAAAGATGGAAAAGACAGATTTATAGTTAATTGATTTATTAATATATTTCACATAAATTGTCTGTTTTCATTGATAGAATAAGTCAGGACTGAGAATATAAATCAGAAATTATTTAAAAAAGTTGACCAAATTTCTCTCTGAAAAAGTTCCCATAGGTGTACAAAAAATCTACAAAGCAGCAATTACAAGGCATTACTCGTTAACGTAAAGAAGACATGTCTAGGCAGTTTTTCAAGATGAGAGATTAGGATGGAAAAAACGTAATCATAGATGTGTCCTAAATTATGTCACATATGAGAGTGAAAATGATGTGTATTGATAAACAAAGGGAAAAGAGAACACAAAAAAAGTTAACCAAACACATTCAGCAGTGCCAAGTGTGGAAATAATCATTGTTGTTTTTCGGCACATTTATCAAGCGGTCTTTATGTATATGACCTGAATTTGTATGGCTGCCCTAACATTCATGCTGAGGTGTTAAAACAGCTGATGCAAGCAAAGCCAAAATGCCCTTTTCAAATTTCATTGAAGGTTATTTTACTGAAAATGCTGCATTTTCTAAAGAGTGCAGTACACCTCTTTCAGTTTTGTTATATATCTGTTATATATGTATTTAGTTTGGTTATACTTATATATTTGTTTAGTTTACTAAATTTTATAATGGATACTCTAAGAAAAAAATATTTAATTACAATGCAATTACAACATACTAACCCGAATTAGTCAGTAGAATGCTGATGTTTTTTTTTTTTAAATCCCTATTTAAATGTTCTTTCAACTGATTTTCATAATTAGGTGTAGAGTATCTTATGTGACATTTACAAGTACAGGCATTTCTGTCACATCCAAACAGCTGCGAGTAATGTCAGACAGCAGCCTCAAGGACACACCTCTACTGCGCTGAAAGGAAGCTGACATCTTGAAAGTGAGTGCACTGGTTTTATGAGTTTAAAGCCTTGTCAGGATGTTGAGCAAAAAATGGAACTATACATACAATACATAAGTGCTATACAGTAGCTACACATATTGATGTATTACACTGTTTTCTGAAACATCACTACTTTTCCAGTAACATTCATTAATAACTGTTTTGTTGCACTATATTAATACAACAAAAAAATGTGTTTATAGAATAACATGTTGGGGATAGTATCGCCATCTTATTGTTGCAGTTCCATTTAAATTATAGTACCCAGCATATAATAATAAAATAAAATAATAAAAGCATACAATAATAAAAATGGATTATGGTTTATTAACAGCTCAAGAAATATGCAACAATATTTTATTGTGTACCTTCATTATAGAATGAAGAAAAAGTGGATTTTCAAATCATGTAATACTGTATGCAGTGTACAAATTAAGAACTGTCATTTAATTCCCTGGATGATTACATTAGCACCTATCAATAGGTTTTTAAAAAAAACATTACAAATTGGATAAACAATCAGACAAAATAATGTGCAAAAAAAGGAAGATCATAATACAAACATTTCAACAATGATCTCGGTACACTATTATTAGTGATGACAAGTATTTCTTAATATTATGTAAAGCACAGATACATTAAAAAAATCTGTCAGTGCATTAAATGTTATTTAGCATTATTTAGCATTTAGATATTTACTTTTGTAAATATATGGAACTCAGACTTCAGCAAGTATTTTCTGTCCACAGTATTTAATGTAGAAGTCTTTTTCAAGGAGGAAGCGTGTGAAACTGAAATACATTTTTATATTATTACTTGCCATTACCTGTTGATTTAATTCCAAAATGCAATACCTTTTGTATACCTTGTTTATTAACTTGTTTGGAATATAACTTTACATAATTTAAACTGAACTACAAAATAAACTCTTAAAGGGAGATGGGTAGATATAATGTCTACAGTATATGCTGTTGAAAAACATTTGCCCTGTAACATCACAATTGGCTTGAAAATGTTTGCCTCTTATGTGTTTACAGCTAAAAGATAGCTATAAACAACAGTAATTAATGTCTTGAGAATTGAATTTGTTTTCAGCTTGTAATGGTTTTCAATGAAACTTGGCCGTAATTCAGACATTTTTAAACTGACTGTGCCATGCTGAATTTATGTATTGGCTATTTAAATTATTTTAATTCCAATACATTATTTTGAATGCATCTACTTTTCCTGCAAAGCTGTGAAAGTCTTATCATTTGCTGCCCCCTCTGTACTACAGATGAAAGTGAATTTATTAATTTCTTCCCATTACTTTACACTCAATGTAATCATCTTTCTGGTGTTCTGCTAAAATGACAGGTTTTAGTACTGTGTACGACGATTATTTACAATTCCAAGTTTCAGGATTCTATAATTTCTGTCATAGTATCTCTTGACACACAATGCAGTAAATTTATTTATTTTAGCAAAAGTATTCACAAACACTTAAAGGCCCAATGTATAAATATTATTTGAAAAATATTTGCATATTTGGCATACTACCAATATCCTATGCTTAGATGTACAACTTTATAAGATTAGTGACTAAAATAAATGTGACTTAAGAGTAGTGGACCCTGTTCATAAACACTCCTATACAAATATACATGGAAGTGATCTCATCTTCTAAAGTCATGCTCTTTGTTTTTTGTTATGTTGAATGTACATAGTTTATAAGTCATAGTCAAAAAATGAGAAACAAGATTTTCTATGACTTCTTTAAAGGTCAGGTTTAAGACCTTGTTGGTAAATTTAATAAATTAAATTTGAGATTTAACCTGGAAAAGCCTGGTTTTGTAAGGAGAGGTGATACAGTGGATAAAAATACAAACATACAATCATTCAGAGATAGAAGAAATTATTGCATTACCCTTTTTTGTCATATTGTGAGGGGATGTGTCTCCTATGAAGCTGGTTGTATACACTTCTTACTTTGTTAAGAGCAGATAATGTAGAAAACACTATAAAACATACAATATACAATTATTCATTCCAATTAAATCTGTTAATCTCCAATTACACATTCCAAAATTACCCCTTGCCACAGGCCTAACAGGGCAAACCCCAGAATAATAGTTATTCACAATGTAGTGAAAAGTTTTGTCTTCAAATTTAAGATTGAATTGTCAGACCTCCTCATGATGCTGTTTTCTCGTGGACAGAGTGTCCTTGAAAGATGCACTCATCAGCACTTATAGAATTCTGTTAGTCAATTTCAGCTTGTATATACTCATCAATTTTTAAGGTTTCCTTGGTGCAACACCGACAGCTTTGTTATTTGCTCTTGATGCCTCCCAACATGGTCTGATAAAGGTGTTACAGCAACTCATAAAAATGTTCAAATAAAATAACTGAAAATAATTTGAAATACATTTTTCCATGATTGTATATTAAATACATCATTATTTTTATTAGAAAATATTTTTTCTCTCTTTTATAGCAACTGATAATTAGTAGTTACCATCAGCTTTTCTCAGCCTGTTTGGTTATCTCTAGGCTCAAATGCCCCTGGCTCTGATCCTGTACACCTGTTAGGACCTGCTGGCATGTGCTGCTACATGTTCAGCACAGCCCCAAATTGGAAAGTTGTGTCTGGGCTTGGGGGCCTGTGGATAATTGCCTACAAAGATTTTCTTTCCCTATGCGATTCCTTCAACAGCAGATGTGTTTAATTATTACCATAAACACTGTTACATGGCTATTTCCCCATAGCAAGACGGTGCCTATAAAGAAGGTAAACAGATTGTATAACAAAGTGTTCTATTGCTGTCAGCGATGACTCTGAAAATAAAACACTTCCCTTTGACTCTCAATTGGCTGACAGTCCACACATAATGAATAATAGCTTGCGGGGACTGGGAGAAAGATGTGTGGGAAAACTTTAATTAAAAGCTTGTCAGTACAATTTTACCTGAGTGACATCACCTGACTGCAATCTTTGTGCCAGTCTTTGTTGTCTGTGGGATAGTAGGTAGAGCTCTTGTTTTGCCGAAAGCAAACAACTCAGACATAGTTTAAGCACTCGGGAAATGAGACGTTGCCAATAAACTACAGTCAGCTTTTTTTGTTGCTGTTTCTCTAATGTTCTAATTAGCAAGCCCAGGTATGATAATAAATGCATCTTCTCCAGCATTCAGAACATGAAAGTGAAAAGTGATATATTTATTTTTGTATGACCTTTTTCTAACCTGCACTCAATTCTCAGGGTGGTTTTTGCCTATTTAGTTCTTACATTCTAGAAGCGGTTTATGCACAGCCTTATGTTATCATAATGCTGAAATATGACATCCTTATAGCATAACCTGTCAAGCTGGTAGAAATATTTACAAGAAAATATTTCTACTAAGAAAGTGTTGAAAGGAAAGAAAATCAGGAATTCAGAGTGCTCCCTAGGCACCAGATCATTCAATCAGGACATCTCAGACTTGTTAAAATTAAAAAAAAAGGCTCTTTTGACAGAGTCATACTAATCACTGAAATGTTTTGGTGTTATGATTCAATTCATAATAACATCATAATAAAGAGCTTATCCTAAACATCTGTATCAAAGAATGGTTTTAAACCCTGGAAAGCAGATACACAGAAAATACATTATAGTCACAAATGTATGGGTTTAAACTGTTGCATTACTGTAAGAGCTGAATGGTGCATTGTTTTATTGATCTTGCAACTTGGAAAATATTTTGATATCTCTGAAAGTTGTCTATCCTTAAAAAATCAAATGTTTTTTCTTAAATACAAGTACTGTATAACAAAGCATACTAGAATATCATGTGAAACAGTTCAAACAACTCTTCAGAATTAATTTTCTAATTCAACCCATGTCTGAGAGAGGCTGTCAAAAAACATTTTTTCTAGATTTTAATGAAACAGTCCCTCTTCTCCCAAAATTAAACAGACAAATTAACCTGGTACACTAAAGATGCGAGTAATTGAACAGACATTTCTATTTTTTTTATTTTTTGAATATTATTTACAAATTCAAACTGAAATAACATACAAATGTTTAGTTTTGTTCCAGGAAAGTAGAAAGTGACAAAACAAAATCACTTGGTTAACTTTTTGTCTTATTCTGTCTTTAAAGGGGAAATGCAGTCATAATTTCTCAGACCAGGTACAAAATCTCGGTAACAAAATAAATTCATTGAAGGAATAGCAAATTTTAACAAATTTCCAATTAAGCACAAAATAGTAAACTTTGTTAAAGTACTGTGTAGTCGTCATGTTGTCACAAGCCACTGGTTAAGCCATGGGAGAGAACGAGGTAAAATGACCCTTCCTGCTCGCTAGTCCCTGTAATTAAAAAGGGAAACTTAGTCTCCAAAAAAGATTACTCCTTTTTTGGCTTTCTCAGGTCACATATGTATTTTAAATGATACTTCACTGTTGAGCATTTGGATGTGCAGAATATATTAGTCGCACACAAAACAGAGGATTGGATTGGCAAATAGTCAAAGTGTTTCCTTTCCAAGGGATATTCAACTAGCCAAGAGATGGGTAATAAACTTTGACACATGTTGGTCACATCAAGTTTCTCGACAAAACTCAGCGCAATGAACGAGCGAATAAGTACAAGTTGTGAAGCAAGCATTTCACCACAGAAATGTTCCAACATGATCTGCATGCACTAACAAGAAAGCAGTATTTGTTGGCAAAACCATCACAAACTTAGCAAGAGATGCACACCAAATGTTATCCATTGATGGTTGAAGAAGTGCTGTGCTGATAACTTCAAAGGGATCATCATTGTTTTTTTTAAGCTGTTTGGAAATTGTTCAGTTTTAATTTGGCTACCTTGTTTTGACAATGAGGCACTGCTTGCCTGAGTTTGATCATCATTGTCTCAAAGTTGATATGTTGAATTCAATTCACTTCCAATCATTCAAATCAGAAGTCTAGATAAAGTATCTAAAAACTGTCACCTTATACAGTATATGTCAGTTTCATTATATATAAATTAACACAGAAGCAAAATTTGCTTAGTCTAAAGCATGTGCTTTATTGCAACAGAAATAGATTGGTTGTCAAATACTGTCACTTTGGGATAGAATGTGTAAAAGGAGATATATTTACAAGCATGCCCTATGTACAGTAAAAGGGCTGCTTAACGTCACCAGATGTTTTATTGCCTCGTTTTGAATCCCAGATAATGACAGCAATATAACACAATGCATACCTGGAAATTTTGTCTATTTTGTGTTACAATATGGCTGGTCATTTGTCAGAACTCAAGAACAAGAGACCAGAGAGTAGCGGAAAGCCTGAAGAGACTCGACTTGTTGGGGCTCGGGTACTCTGTAATAGAGGGAAAGTGGAATGAAAAAGAGGTGATAATTGAATAATAAATTACTGGCTGGCAGTGCTTAATCAGCCCAGGCCAGTCAGTAATGGAAAGGAGAAGGGAAAAAATTAAATAATAAAGACTTGGCCGGTGGAGTAAGGATTGGCCTAGCTGGTCAATAAAAGGAAAAAAACAGGTGAGGCACAATGATTCTAGGAGACTGTGATAGAGAAGCCTGTCACGAGGTACAGGTAGCACGGGAAATACACTATTCATACACCTTACGTTGAGCGGTTGCTAGATAAGTTCCTGAGGGTGCACACTCAGGGCTTGACTAGTAACTGCTATCACTTAAATTCATATACATTCACATACAAAAAACACATACTTAAATACAGGTATGAGTGAGTATTGTGGTGTGAATGGAGAGTGCTCTCAAAATGGATGATACTCACTGTTTGTTTGGTGTTGGTACTTCCAGGTTGGGTCAGCCTATGGTGGCCTCAAAAAGTCAAACCTAACCCCAGTTCTCAAGGCTTCTTTATGGAGATGGGAAAATCCACATACATGTGAAGAGAGGGAAATGTTATTGTTTGTATTGTTTATTTTCTGTATTGTTTATTTGAACCAGGATCAAAAGAACTGTGTTATTAAGATATGTGATGTTCTTCGGTTAGAAATGAATTAATCATGAATGTATAATTTGTGAAATTATTATGAATTGGAGACATGGTTTGTTCCAGAGGGGAAGGGGCTTACATACTACCTGGGGTTAAAGGCTTCTCTAGGAGGAGGGGTCTCACTGAATACTGGTGGGGCAGATCTCCACATAGTGATCATAGTGATCCAGTCAGAAGGCCCAGGAGCTGGTGATTCAAGCGGCACACCATAATGTGGTGTCTCCCCAAAGACCTGGCCAGGTATGCACTGTCAGCTCTATCTCCCAGGTTCCTCACTCTGACGGAAGCATTCAGGTGCGAAAGGAATCATATACCCATGAGCCCTTTGGATTAACCGGGGAAGTCATCTGCTAGGAACGGGTGACAAAGAAACCCTTAGTCCCCTCTTAACTCTTGGAGCCCTGGGTCAGCTCAACTGCAGGAAATGGTCCCAGTTAGAGCCCGAGTAGAAATAAATCCTCAGAGAGCTCAGGCTAATAGAGTGATGCCCACCAAGGATTGGAATGGGAACAAGATGCCCAGATCTCTACGAAGAAACAGAGAAAGCTCTGCTGGGGTGCTGGAAGGTGGCTATGAAAAATAAGAAAATAAGAAAAGTGATCCAGACGTCCCATGAAGGTGAGAGAAAGGTAAAAGAGTCCTAAAGATCTGGAGAAAAGGGAAACTGGAAGGGCGGCAGAAATGAGGGCAGTCCGAGAAAAGAGTAAAGTGCAGGGCAGGACTCTACAGAAGAGGAATGAGGCTGAGGCAAGGATGACTTCATGGACAACAAAAGCTGCCTCCTGAAGTGGGTCTGATCTGCATTGACAAGGCCCTTATCCAAACAAAACCCTGTCCTTGGAACATAAACCAAACAAGGAATTCCTGAAGCCACAACTGCATTCCACTTCCTACATTTTCCCCTTTACACTCTCTATTCCCAAGGTCATCCAACAAAACAACTTCATGATACAATATACAGTAGAACTTCTACTAGAACTTTTTTACCAGGTACAATATTCATCTTATACCACTGTCTCACTACATTGCTTTAAACATCCATAAAATTTCTTCTACTATTCTCCCTACCCTCCAGTTTGCCTCATTTTCCTGCTCTCTCCCTTGATTTATCGATTACGATTTATCATTGAGTGAAAAGATGTCTGCACATTATTTTGTCCATATTATTGGAGAAAAACAAAAAAGGATGGACATTTTCAGCAACTGCAAACACCAACATTCATGTGGCTTGTCAGTAATGAGAACGGAATGACTCTTTGCAAAAATTAAGATGCAAAAGGTAGGAGCTTAATAAAGTTTTCTGAAAAGGCAGAATCTATGTTTATGAATGCTGATTCAATATGGATTTGTCAGAGTCATGTACAATGATTCTGTTTCACTGGACATTGAAAATTTCATGAATAACTTTAATTAGCAGGACCTAATGGAACTTCATTAATAATGGTTATTTATGAATAAAGGAAGGGTAGAGGATTTCTTTGTATCTGTTTGTATCCAATGTTGTATAGACCCTGGTCTTTGGCAGAGTGCAAGTTAAAAGCCAAATTATACTTGCACATCAAAAATACCTTTATTTTACCAGGCAGATAAGTTCAGAACAGACAACAGTGATTATTGCAGGGTTTGGGCCCTGAGTTCAGTTCTGGGTAAGGGGTACTATCTGGGCCCCTGGTGTAAGTGTGTGCGTGTTTGTGTCTGTGTTTGCCCTGAGATGGTATCCCGTCCTTGCACCAGGGTGTCCCCTGCCTTGTGCCTGTTGCTTGCTGGGACAGGCTCCAGGTCCCCTGTTAACCTGAAATGGATAAAGTGGTTAGAAATAGGATGGATAAAAAAACTTTAAATTAATTAGTTATAAAAGTTTAATTTGCTTAATCAGACAATGTCACTAGTTACGTTATCTAATGGGAGAATAATACGCTTCAGGGTATAAACTGTTACTAAAATACTACACACAGCACAATTCTTTAAGGGTTACAGTTTTACAAACATCTTTAATTTTCAATTGTATTATTATTTATATCCAATACAACATACAGTGTTTAAAATGGCAACAAGGTGCTTTAATATAGAAAATATATTTGCACTGTCCTCTATTTTATGGTAATTAACTGTTTCTCTGAGGAGACAAAATTTACTTTTTACATATACATTTTATAGACCAGTCCTGCCATTCTTTTGAGCATTCATAAAGTAGTGGAGACTTTAGAAGAAATCAGTAAAGAAGGAAGTCTCCTGTCTGGAAAGTGTATATCACTTTACACTAATGAACACATCTGTCAGTCACATCTGTTTCTTATTACTTACCATTAAATTATGATTGCTCTAATTGAATGCCATATTCACTGCAGGTTAGCATACAGTGATCAGAGAAATGTTTACCAGAAAACCTTAAATTTTAAGATCAAGAGGAGATGTTAATTTAATTGGTCCCATGTATATTGCGACAAAGCTACAGTGGGTCAAATAACCATTTTCCATCTGTTTTTGCTATTGGCTTGTACACTTTGTAACATGTATAGACATCACATGAGTTTTATATTTAAAAACAACCTAAAATTTTAAACTAATTTTTTTGGGCTGATAAGAGAATCACAATAAACTTTTTTTTTTAATGAAAATATATTCTGAAATATTAATACATTTTATAATACAGTAGATGTTCAAGACAATGTGGCTTCAAGAAGGTCTTTAATTAAAAATGTAAAACCATATGAGCTAACAGCACGTGATTTTAATGTTCATAAGTTGTGAAGCCTGGCCTCTCTGGATGCTGTCTTATGGCACTGCTGTCGCTTTGCATAGGCTGAAGCAATTGTGCATGTCTTACATGATCTGATTAGATGTAAATTAAATCTTTATTCATTGTCACTGCATATTATCACAAGAAAAACCTTTGTTATGGTCTACCAAATATTTCCTCCTATTTTTATATATTCTACCCTTTCATGACAGAGGTGTCTTTACAAGCAACCTTTAATTGGTGGATGTCTCCAGTATCACAGAAATACAGTTAGGTTTATAAGACCTGTATCCCTCATACAGAAACGTAACTTGTAATATTACAATAAATGTAATACATATTATATACATATAAAGGTCAAATGGAATTGTAGGATATTAAATAGTTATTCATAAAACATTTTTGGAGTGCAAAAATTTTGTGAATAGAGATGTGAAGGTCAGGCTCATAAAAGTTCACAGTATAGTACAAAAACTGACAAAAAGTTAAATATATTGATGCTTCAAACAGATAGTAACAATATATACATCCATACAAATACAATATGTCTGAATTTGAAAGAAAATAACAAGGTTGGAAAGAAATGTGCACCAATGTGCAGCCCCCTCCTGGATAATGTGACGGCACCTAGTGGGGAGGAGAACAGGGTGATGAAACCAGTTCATAGATGGGGATTATAAGGAAGCCATTATTGGTAAAGGCCAATGGGGAATTTGGCAAGGACACTGGTGTAAACCCCTACTCTTTTCGAAAAACACCCTGTGATGTTTAATGACCATAGAGTCAGGACCTTGGTTTTAATCTCGTCTGAAGGACGGCGTATTTTTTACTGTATAGTGTCCCCGTCACTATACTGGGGCATTAGGACCCACACAGACTGCAGGGTGAGTGCCCCCTACTGGCCCTTTAATACCTCTTTCAGCAGCAACCTTACTTTATCCCAGTTTCTCCCATCCAGTTACTAGCCAGGCTCACTCCTGCTTAGCTTCAGTGGGTTGCCAGTTGTGAGTTGCAAGGTGATTTGGCTGCTGGCAAAAAAAAGAAATACTTCCTTAAAAGGAAATACTTTACATAAATGTATCTGCATGTCGGCAAACAGACTGAAATTATGTTTGGAGAAATTTGTCTTAACTGAGTCGCTATTTTGTGTTATAATGTTTGGGAGAGTTAATGGAAAAAAAATTGATGTAACTAGAGATTGAAAACTTCCAGTAACATTAAATAGTACAGTACATTAAATATTTAAGTCCAGGGTTTATATCAGTGTTGAAACTTATGTGTAGCAAAAAAAAAATGTTAAGTAACACCATAAATTTCCATATGCCTGAATTGATTTGTTTTTATTTTTCTTTCTTAGTTGTTTTTAAGATTTTGTTTGTTGTTTCCATAATTCTAAAATCTGGAATATAACATTAATAGTCAACAGAAAATATAGTTTTTGCATCACTCAATTTTGAGAAAGAGCTCTAAAAAAATAATAAGCAAAAGTCTTTCTTTTATTTCTAAAATATTATGCATGTAGAGATTGTAACCAAGCTCTTGATTTCAGGCAGAAAGAATCAGGCCACAAATATTGCCAGTCTAGTGCCAATGTGCCAACCCCTTCTGTGTTCCCTACTGTTAATTACTACATGTACAGTACTTTGCAATTCAGATGCAGAGCTCAAAATAGCTGTTAAATCCTCTATTTTTACTCAGAAAAATTTGGTCAAGATTATTTAAAAAAATATATCTATGTGCGTACTGATGTAATGTATTCATTGCATGCAACATATATGTAAAATAACTCTGTTGTCATATTCAGCTTTTCTTTCTCTTATTTTTTCCTTTCATAAAACAATGAAGTTCAACACTACACACTTGAAGAGGGAGCACATGAGAGAGTACACGGAAATATTATAGTTTTTATGTGGATTTAATTGTTTATAAAGGCCAAAACAATAACATAATTAACAAAATTGAATGTGACACTGATGTTTTTACTAAATACTTTACTTTCTTAGAAATGATTTATTTTCCACTGTGGTATATCATACTGTAAAATAATTGACATTTTGAATGATGCTGAATATATCAGAACTACAGTATATAAGTCTGCATTCTGAAAGCAAACTTATATACATAGCTCATTAGTTTACCTCTCCAAAATCACTTACTATTTGTCCTATTTGTATTTATTTCCTTTATGCCTTCAGTGATGTAATAAACTCTTTAAAACGATTATGAGATCCAATCACTTTCAATAACCTCATGTCCAATTCAGGGCCAGAGTGGCCTGGAGATGATCCCAGAAAGCATTGAGCAGAAGGAAGGATACACCCTACATGGGATCCCAGTCCATCACAGGACACGCACAAACACAAATACTCACACTCACAGCAGGACCAGTTTACACAAACCAATTAACCTACCAGCATGACTTGGATTGTGGGAAGAAACTGGATCATCCAGAGGAAACCACCGCAAAGACTTGGAGCACATAGATACTCCACATAGACAGCTACCCAGAAATTGAACCCAGGGCCCCAGCACTGTGAGGAAGCAATTGTAACCACTGTACTTCTGTGCTGCCCACTTGAATAATTATAATAGTTTACATCAATTTGGATTAAACACATTCAATTAATGTTGGGTTAAAAATAATTAAGTTTCTATATGTTTGTTCCAAATATGTAACACAATTTACTTTTGAATTTAAATCTTAGTATAATTAGTTTTGCAATGGGATTCTTAGGCTTTCAATTTCTAAAAAAGTGTTAGCCTTAACCTTGAAAAATATACAGGAATGTCCATGAAAATTGTTTTTGCATTTATATATGCAACATGCACATTCAAATGCTAGGTTATAGTTAATGTTGAAATAAATTAAATATTTTTCCATTTAAAAATATGTGTGACATTCACGGTAAATATGAAATTCTTTACTTTCTGTTCACATTCAAGTTAGGGTTAGGGTTAGTGCATTCAAGTGCAATTGAATTACAGATTACACATTTAATCATGGTGCAGAGGCATTACTTTGATCTACTGTTGCATATTTAAATTGTTGTGACCGATAGGTAAAGCAATAACCTAGATGTAACAGAATAAGATTAGGGTTTAGAGTAAGAAGAGCATTCTCTATCATAATAGAAAAATACATATTTTAACTTTGCACTATCATACAGTAGTTTAAAGTAGGCAGAATCATCACACTGGCCTGGCCTATTTTCCCAGTTGGTTAGAAATGACACACATCAAAGAACAAATACTGGAATGGGGGGCACAGAAGCTGGATAAAGTGCTGATCATGTGGGTGGTGTTTAAACGTTTACTCTGCGTTCTGATAAGTAAGAAGATCCAAGAGGTTGGGGTTAAGAAATCCCAAAACAATAGGCTGGTTGATGTTGTCCATTCCCATATACAGCTGATGTCCAATTCAAATAAATGCTTATCACCCATCTGGCCACTTTGGTTGTTCAAACACCAGCACAATTGGGCCACCACCTGCCCCTGGCCCTGTGGCCCTGTGGGCAAACCACAGGGTCCTCACTGCTACGGATCTGGTTCAACACCTGATTACTGTCCCAGATTCCTATCATGGAACAGATAGCTAGGGATGTGGATTCAGCCGATTGGCTGGAGTACTTTAACTGCAACTTTCCTGGGCTGTTTAAAACTGCAGGAGAGGTTGGCCCCAGGAGAGGGAACAGCGTAGCAGGGTCAGATGATGTCAGCCAGCCATTGTCTCCTATATTAACCTTAATGAGGGGAATGCTGGGTTGATCAACAGTTACAGCTATTGTAAAATTCTTTTGTGTAACGCTAATCCTCTGTAACCTCCTGTTTATGTTCAAGTCGATCCTGTATGGGCTTGCCTGAGTACATATTGATGTCCACTCCTCCTTTGTTGATATTTGTGTTTTACGGTCCATTTAAGGTTTGTTATTTGAATAAAAAGTGCTATGGCTTTTTGCAACTTCCATTTGCCTCTTAAGTGGACCCCACAACAGTCTTAGCAAATTGCGACAATACACATGATTATTCTAAAATTTTAAATAGTTTTA